TGGCACATTTGTAACTCATTTATATGGAAAAATGCCATAGCTCTGATAAGCGATCGAATTTATATTATATTAGAGTTGCAATGTTCAAGTTTTAAAAACTCATGATATAGTTTTAAAGAATACATTATAATTGAAAATATAATATAGATAAAAAGTGAAGTTATAGAAATTATATATTTATTGTCTCCATTAAAACGTCTCTCAATTCAGAATTAAAAAAAATTTTTTTTTACTAAAAAATTATTATTAATTTTATAACTTTTCTATCAACGCAACAATATCGATATATTTGAAAATTTTTCAGTCAAATTGTGTATCATAATTATCATAATTAGCGAATTGTACTTTCTGTATGTTTCCAATATCTTTTGATCTTTCATTCCGCATAGGAGATATCGAAAAATTTAGGAGCATTTTTCATAAATATAACAAACGAGATCAAATGAATTATGAAGAAATTGAGAAAACGCGAAAAGAGGCTCAACAACCTAGAGAAATACATATTAGGATCGCAATAGAAATATTTTGATATCGAACGAGCAGGAACTTATATTTCGCGCGTTGGACAACCCCCGAGGGAGGTGTTACTCGCCGAACGATAAAGTGAGATGGAAAAATTATTGTGGGCGCGCGGGATGACGATCGACGACGGCGAAATAATTTCGGTGTGCCTTCTGTGTCTTTTCATTTCCATGGAAACGACGTAGGAAGCATTCACCGGGATAGTGAACGTTCGACCGACGGCTGAGCGCCTTACACGCACGAGTTCCCCGAGCCGCAATCAATAAGAAGTCGGGATTGCTCCAGCGATTGCTTCGGGCTGAATGGTAGTAGAAGGAAGGAAGCGGATAGAGAACGCGCGGCGGTCATGAGGGATATACGCGCGGAGGTAAAAGAGAAAGAAAACGTTCTGCATCTATCATCGCGTAAATAGGGCAAGGAAAAATAACCGGGTATACACGATATTTCCACAATCGTATTCGAGGCTGGAAAAGAGAGACGAAACTGTCCAATGTCTCTCGCAATCGCAAACATATAACGTCGTCGTATTTCAATGGATGAGTGTCTTTTTATCGTCTATAGATTCATCGGAGTACCCGTGATTCTTTATCGGGTGAATGATACGTCCACAAAATACGATCGAAATCTCGTGCGAGAACAATTTCAACGGTGGTGGAATTTGAAAGAAATTATTGATGAATTCACTAAAATAGAAAAAGATTTTCTGTGAAAATTTGTTCCAACATTCCGATAGTATTACTGATTTCATTTTCTATCGTAGAATTGATTATAATTATATTTTATATAACAAATTTTTTTATATGTTATTTCTGTTTCGAAGGATTATAAAATTGATGAATCTTTAGAGACCTTTTAATTTTTATATTTTTCTTAATTCCAAATATTCATATTTAACATATTTTGTTATCTCTACTTATATAGAACTTAATACTAATTAGGCTTAAAATCTGCATAATTCGAAGATTATTGATATTAACTCTGTATTTAGTCTCACATAAGAAATTAACATGAGACTAATTTCCACTCATGATTCAAGTTTTCAGACCAAAATCAGGATCAAAATTATGAGCCATTCCGGAACTACGCAAACTTGTTAAGAGCTAAACGAAACGAGATATCGCGGCATGCTACTACGTGCCTCGCACACCCTTCAGACAGATCAACGCGCGCCTTCGTAAGCCTGGACGAACAGAGACGTGTCGGTGAGAATGTCCGAGAACCATTTTATGAGGACAAGATCCCAGAGGAGAAATGGAAAAGTTAAATGTTGGCAAAGTTTCTTCCCGTGCCCCCTTTTGTCTCCTTCTTCGTTTCCCTTACTCATGATCCTTCGCGTCGTTTTCATCTGCGCTTCTCGTCAAATGACCATTCCGTTCTTGACGCTCCAAAGCTGTGACAATGACAGTTTTGGGTGCCCTTTTACTGTTGCCAGTCGAAGGAATCGAAGACAAACAGGAGAAATTTCATAGCAGCATAAAACCGCGGAACGACAGTGTGTTTCGTGATTTCCAATACATAGTTTTGTGAGTCTTGGTTCGATACTACATCGGTCTCTTGTCGAAGAAAGGAGCAGGAATCACCTCGGTAGAGTATGCCGAGTCACGAGACTGTTTTACGACACAACAATTCTCATTTCACGTCATAAAGTTGTTTTCTTTCATAGCATTACAAACGCGAGTTTCAAAGTAGCGACTATAACGCGACTCAGAAGTAGTAGTCATTATTAAGTTTACGTATTTTGTCGATTGTCTAGAATGTTTAAATGTATTTTAAACAGGTAATACTATGCTAAATTATAAAAGTTAAACTTTATTATTGAAAAGCACAAATTGTAGGAAGTTATACAAATCAGCTCTTATTTACTCAATATTTTAACAAGTCAAAAAAAATATTAACTCTTAACACATACTTCTTTGAATAGTACAATCTATAAGTCGATATATTTATTTACAATAAAATAAATATTTACTCAATAAAAAAATAATAAAAGTACTGGTTTTTGTATCAAATAAATATATATATTTATCTTTAGTAAATATCTATTTAGAACTAATCAAACAAATATTTATTAAAATTTAATATTTTTTTCAGCGTATGCGAAACTTTGTCACGCGTATATTTCAAATTTTTTTATCCAAAGTTTCATAGTTTATAAGACTTTGGATAAAATTGTCACATTTTAATAATACCGATTAATGTCACGTAGGCAAAATGTTTATACTATTATTATTCAGACATTCAGCGCGTGTTTCAAGACGTTCAACTTAGTCTGGCTCAACCGCAACTGATATTCTGCTCGTCTTATACGACGTCACGTTCCGTTGACCACTATCCCCGAAGAGTATGCTACGTGCGCATCTAGACCAGTATCTGTGTTGCACTGAGTACTCAACTTTTATCAGCGTTCGCACTTCCATTTAACCCCTCGAGGTTCTCGCCAAGTAAAAACATGTAGATTCAAAATCGCATTTGGATTTTAACTTCGATTCGGATAAAAACTAAGGTCATATATTCTTAATAAATAAAAAACGAATCTTCTCTCGTATGATTAGTATGTGAGTTTATTTACTAAAGCAAAGTACATAATTATTGAAAAAGAATATTTCGGTTAAAAGTATTAAGCATTTAATAAATTATATATTCAATATTATATGTGATTAATAAAATCTTAATAATACATTTACTATTACATAAAAATAATAGTTAATATATATAGGTATATATGCAAAATAGTAATAAATAATAATTTCTCTCGGCTTGTACTATATTTCTATTGCATAATATTTATATGACATAACATTTCAGTTACAGTATATCAAAATAATACTTATTAGAGATCAAATTCGCGAATACGTGAAAATAATAATATATGTATATTTTTATAGCCTTATAACGTCGTCCGATGTACAGCAAATGATACTGAAAGCTATTACGAAGCTTTAATAACGAATGAAAATGTTTCACATTCTCATCGTTTAATTAATTCCTTCCAGCCGTAATGTGACGGTGAAAAAGTATTTAATTACTCTACACATGGTGTGTAAGTTTTATGCAATCGTTAGAGCTGTATGGCTTCACGTGGTAACATTAAAACATTATGATGGTTATTATTCGGCCATATCCATTAAAAAATATTATCATAATTACGATGTAATACTAGCCGCAACGGCTTTTATCTGAAAGAACAAATTAATATAACGAACCAAAAATTTCTGTCTCCCACTTTTACATTTTATAGAATTTTTGTCATTAAAAACATGGCGTGTTTTTTTTACGATTCGAAACGAAGATGTATTTGCAATGTTGCCTCGCGCATTAATTAGCATTATTTTTTTAAATATTTATTTAGGACAATATAAATTTTTATACATGTAAAAATATCAGTAAAATAAAAATGAATACTCCATATAGACTTAATGCGATAATTTCTTAAAGTTTAAAATTTATTACGAAAATATTTCTGCGTTTTAAAAGTTAATCATGACGAAATATTATTAGCAAAACTTTTCTAATTAAAATTAAATTTAAGAAAAATTTGATATAAAATTGAACATAAATTGTGTGTGCGTGCAATTTCAATAAATTTAAAGGACATTTGTATATATTTGGTACTGTATTTTGGTTGTAAAAACTTTATATTTCCATATGTTTAAATTAAAAATATTTAAGTACTTAAATTATTTATCTTCGATATATTGTAATTATGATATGTAATTAACTGAAAATTTTAGATATTTCTGTTAAACGTAGGTCCTTTATATTATAATTCTTCACGCGATTCGTGCATTTCATAATAGGGTATCTTATTTGACCCGCTGAACCGCGTACGTACCGTAACAAACTTTGTGTACACAAGTGTACATGAAATGTAAATGCACAAATTATACCATTTGAGTGTAGCTCTAGTTTATTTGTTTTGCCGAAACGTAACTACATTAAACGGATTAAAGGAATGCATTAACTCCGCACGAGAGAAAGAGAAACGTTCTGCCATACTCCTCAGCAGGTCGTCAAAAGTTTAAGCTGATAATTAATGTGTTACCACCGTTAACACGGTTATACCGTAACACGGTTAATTCAATGTCGACTGTTATAATTAAATTTAGAACCAGATAGCGGGCAAGGTAGTTAGCCGCAACCTACAATGCAACCGGCTACAATGCGACACGCCGCACAATGTTATGTTCGTCAGATACCAATCGTGGCAACAATGCATCTCGCGCATTATCAACGTCATGTGAATCGCAATTCAATTTGTAACTTGCGGACGCGCACTGTGAACGTCTAATCGGTTTTCAGATAATCTCTATCGCATTTAGCTTGCGTGCTCGCAGACAGAAAAAAATTCCTCCAGAGTCCAGAGATGCACGCGCGCGCACCGTTGATATACGCAAGTAAAGGTACGAAGAGGAAAAACCGTACAGTGCAAGCATTGAGAATCTAGTAGTCTATTCTGGTAGAAATTTTATCGGACTCACCAGTAACTTTGATGTGATAGGATAACTGAGCTCGCCACGTGTCCTGCATTTTCCGATCTGGCGCGACGCACCGATACTCTCCAGCTTCTTGGTATACTACCCGACTCAAAACGAGAGGTCCAGGCCCGCCTACTGGATCCATTCCAGGTCCGTGGCCCCAACAACCGCCGTCACACTCGAGAGTCACAGCACCGCCGATTTGCACCTCCATCCGCCGAGAATCGGTCGCTTCACCGTTCAGTGCTTCCGCTTCGGTCTCCATATCTGGATCATCTAAATCCCATTGATTTAAATCTCTCAATAAGCAGCAAATTCAAAAGTCGAATTTAAACGTATGGACCACAAGAAGATGAAACAATGCACGAAAATTAATCCACAATGTAGACATAGCGCATATTCGAAATGGAATTTTAATAAATTTTCTTTAATAAGCTATTATCTAAGCTTTAAGTCTTAAATCGTAAGAAATTGACCAACCAATCATAGTCGATTATTCTTCTTACATTTGTCTGTGATTGATTAAGTTTTTTTACGGCTTAAAACTTAAAGTTTGGCTTATTATGGAAAGCCCATTAGATTTCCTTCCTAGATTCTTTATATTTCGTGAATATGACCGTAACGAAAATATAATTCATTTAAAAAATATCATAATATTTTC